ACTTCTGTTTCATGAGAAACTATTTGTTCTGTAAGCCTTCACCTGAAGTACAATAAAAATAAATAAATAAATAATAGTTTTTTTTTTAAAAAAAAGATGAAAATAGCAAAATGGTAGAAACAACCCAAGCGCCCATCAACAGATGAATATATAAACAAAATGTTGTACATACATACAATGGCATACTATTCAGCCTTAAAGAAAAATGAAGTCCTGATACACGCTACAACATGGATGAACCTTGACAACATTATGCTTAGCAAAATAAGTCCATCACTAAAGGGCAAATATTGTACGGTCTCATATAAAATGTCAAGAACAGGTAATTATATAGACACCAGTGGTTCCTAGTGGTTAGCAGGGGCAGGGAAGGGGAGGGAAAATCACTCACTGGGAAATAGTGAATTTTTGTCTATGGTGATGGGAAAACTGGCATCGACTAAGAGCAATGGTTTCACAACCAGACTAACGTAGATGTTACCATAAAGCTGTGCACCAGGAAAAAAAAGCAGGGGGGCCAAAACCGCAAATAAAGTGTTTTATATAATTTTACAACTATGAAAGCAGCCAAAATTTTTTTTAAAAGGCTGTCCCTGTTGATATTACTTAGGTACAATAAACACTTCACAGGATTAGTTTTCTTGGCAAAGGTTTAGGGTCATGACTCATGGGTCTATCCAGTCAATTGACCTAACATTGTTTTTAGAATTTCTGTTCCACCTTACTTCAGTGAGTAGTGTTTAGGGTCTTAAAAGCTTGTGAGCAGCCATGCAAGATACAACAATTGGTCTCTATTCACCTGGAACAGAAGAGTAAGAAGAAGACCCAGGGAAGAAAACGGACTGTAGGTTTAATTGTCTCCACAAACTACTACTTCCATTACCATGAGACCAAAAGAAATGGACGGTGTCTGGCTACCATTGCTGAACATTTTGATCAAGGACCCAACAGATGGATCCTGGTCAAAAGAAAGAAAAACGTGGAACAGACTCATATGGAAATTGACTTACTGAATCTACTGAGACTAGGGGAGTCTTCCAAAATAATGCCTGGAAATAATCTTTAAACCTTGAACCAAAACTATCCCATGAAGCATTGTTAAACAAACAACAGTTTACCCCAATTAATAAAAAATGTTTTCCTTGAGCATAGCACTCTTAAAAAGAATTATCTATATGAGCTTAATCTGACACCTGTTTATCTAAAGCACAGATGAGAACTTTAAGGGGCAGAGAGCCTAAATAAATGGGGATGAAACAATATGAGCAGAGAAAGTGAGAATGGTGACACAATGTGAGGTAACCAATGCTATTCAACTGTTCACGTAGAGATTGTGCATGGATGTACACTTGGTTTTGTATATTGCCACTAAAAATGAATAAAATATTAAAAAAATTATAAAAGTGAAATAAAGACATTTCAGACAAACAAAAGCTGAAGGAATTTGCAGCTAGAAAACCTCCCCTCACCCACACACACACAAGGAATACTAAAGGAAGTTCTTTATGTTGAAGGGACAAGATTCCAGATGAAAGCACATTATCTGTTGGAAGGAATAAAAACCAGTGGAAAGGGTAAATATAAAAGACTATTAATTTCTTTCAAATACTAATAACTAATGAAAAAATAACAATGTACTGTGGAATTTATAAAAATATACACAGAAGTAAAATATAAGACAACAATAGCACAATAGGCAGGGGTGGGTGGATAATGTAATTATACCATTGAAGATTCTTACACTATGAAACGGTAGAATACCAATTCAAGGTAAATTGTAATAAGACAAGGATGTATATTATGATCTGTGGAGTGACCACTAAAAAGCCAACAGAAAAGATAAAATGGAGTAATAAAAATTACTTGAAATCCAAAAGAAGCCAGTAAAGAAGAACAAAGGAATACAGAACGTTATTAAAAGGAAGATGGTACATTTAACAGGGTTTTTCAAACTGGAATTTATGAATACCAGATCTATTGCTATATTCATGGGAGTCCAAGAGTTCTCCAAGAGAATGCTAAAATTTCATACTTTCATTTTGATTTTTTTTTTAAAAATCATATTAGCATATCCGGAATCACCTTGATAATCACATTAACCTGGTACTGCCACAAGACATATTAATCTTTGGGTTCGAGAATTAAAAAAAAAAAAAAGAAGGAGGCTAAAAAGTAAATGATGTGCTGGGGTCTTAAAAGCTTACAAGTGACCATCCAAGGCATGACAATTGGTCTCCATTCGCCTGGAGCAACAGAGGAAGGAAGTGAGTCAGGAATAGGAGGAAGAGGTGGAATGTGTGGCTAATTGCCTCCATGAAGTGCCCCCTTTGCCATAAGACCAGAGGAAATGGATGCTGCCCGGCTACTGTTACTGAACATCTTGATCAAAGATTCCATAAAAGAATCCTGATCAAAAGAGGGAAATGCAGAACAGAATTTCAAATTCTCATGGAATTCAGACTTTCTGGAGCCATGGAGGCTGGATGAACCCCTAAAACTATTGCCTGGAGATAATCTTTAAACCTTAAACCGAAAACATCCTCTGAAGTCTTCTTAAAACCTGTCTTAGTCATCTTGTGCTGCTGTAACAGAAATATCACAAGTGGATGGCTTTAATAAAGAGAAGTTTATTTCCTCATAGTAAAGTAGGCTAAAAGTCCAAAATCAGGGCATCAGCTCCAGGGGAAGGCTTTCTCTCTCTGTCGGCCTTCTCATCAATGTTCCCCCAGACTACGAGCTTCTCCACACAGGGACCCCAGGTCCAAAGGACACACTCTGCTCCCAGCACTGCTTTCTTGGTGGTGTGAGGTCCTCCTGTCTCTCTCCTGGCTTCTCTCTTTTATATCTCAAGAGACTGCCTTAAGACACAATCCAGTCTTGTGGACTGAGTCCTGCCTCACTAACACAACTGCTGCCCATCTTCCCGCATTAACATCATAGAGGCAGGATTTACGACCTACAGGAAAATCACACGATACTAGGAATCATGGCCCAGCCAAATTGATACACACATTTTTGGGGGGACATAATTCAGTCCATAACAAAACCAAACAACAGTCTAGCTTAACTAGTAAAAAATGTCTGCCTTGAGCACTATGCTCTTTTAAGAACTATCTATATGGGATCAAAGTGACAAGAGCAACTCGAAAGATAAGACAGGAACCTTAGGGGGCAGTGAGTTTATGCTAATAGGGAAGGAACAACTCAGAATACGGGGGTGAGAATGGATGCACAACTCTAAGAATGTCATCACTGTAACTGAATTGTACATGTAGAAACAGTTGAATTGGTATATGTTTTGCTATGTATATTCTCAGCAACAACAAAATTTTAAAAAAGTTAATGATGCCTTAATTACACAATAGCTGAAACAAAGACTATTTTGCAGTAGTATCAAGAGAGAAAAGAGGTAGAAGAATTGAATTATCACAAGACAAAAGGTATTTTATGCATGCTGAACTCAAAAAGAATCTTCACTGTACATTTTACTGTGGAAATTGCCATAAAGTGGCAATTTCATTTCAGCCATACATCATCTCTTTAAATTAATTTTGTTAAAATGAATTTTATTGAGATTGTTTTGTTTGTAGTTACTTATAAATTTATTTTGGTTTCGTATTATATAACAGCTACAAGCAGCAGACACTTATCTGTGTATGTATTTAGGCACCATTATAAGGTCTAATTTAAATGAAATTGGAAATCTACATTGTTTCCTTTAAAAAAGAATCAATATATTACTTAAATTTTAGAAATAAAGCTTTATTATATTAACTACAGAATGTTTTTCCACTTTCAGCTCACCATCTTTTCTATCTTCTGAAATATACACTTGTAAGTATTATAGTATACATACTAGCAAGTATTTTAAATCACAAAATAGGAGATAAAGTACTTTTTCACATATAAGGAACGTTATCTTTGCCAAGAATCTTGTTAACCCTGGTATTATGTAACACAACATACTAAAATTTACTCATCCTCATTAATTGAACTGGCCAACAGAATAATAAAACTTTGTAAATCACTGAGTCATCAGATAAATTTACTGTGCAGAATAAATCATTCTCACAAGTTTACTTACATTATAATCAGCTTCAGGAAGTTTAATACCAGGAAATAAGTCACTAGTTATTCCATTAAATAAGGGTATATCATGTGATAGAAACTTTGGTTCATTTACATCTTTAATTGATCGAAGAAGCTAAAATAACCCAAAAAATATGCAATATAAGTTAATTGCTAATGTTCTTCCCCCCAAACAATCAAAGCTTATTTTACATTGTTCTGTGGGATCCCTATACTAAAAGGCCAATAGTATGTTTATCAAGCCAAAAAGGTCCTTGTATTCATATAAGGTCTAGTGAATAACATAACCCAGAAAGTTATCATTTCAGTGCCATGTGAAAAGAATTGAAGCAACAACCATCTCAATTACCTATTTATAGATCCTGATCAACCTTACTAAAAAAAGTTCTAGGAATTATTCTTTACTGAAAATTTCACAAGTTAGTCATTACTTACAAGTATATCTTCATTTTCATTGGGGTATTTCAGTTTTAGGTTTCCAGCAGCCACCAAAACTGCTTTCACTGCTCGCATTCCATAGTCGTAATGAAACTGCGATGAGAGCTGCTCAGAGCAAAGCCTGTATGTCATTACTATCTTCACAGACAGAGGTTTCGCATTCAGAAATCCATAGGAGTAGAGGGAGATTTCTGCTATAAGGGCATAGTTTGGAACCATCATAGCCACTGTTCTAAAAAGCACCTGAAACATATAATAAACCAAATATATTATTTACATAAGGGAGACTGTTTCTAAGCTGAGCACGAGCATCCAAGGATACTATGCTGATATTCAAGTTTATTCCCCCAATACAACATGCTTTCATAAACTCTGTAATTTTTCAGTAGTATTTTAATATTTTATGTACCTTAATTGTTTTATACGTCTAAAAAAGTGTTCGGAGGTTTACCTCACAAGAAATGGAATAGGTAAAAGGGAAATTACAAATACCTGGGAGAAAACTATAACATTTTGAAAGGACTATGTTGTTATTTTTTGATTAACAAATTTATGCTGTTAAAAAATATTACCTTAAGGTTGTCTGGCAATTCGGAACGCCCTGCATAGCCAGGATTCATGGTAATAGCGACAAAACAGTTTGGATTGAGCTTAAGCTCTGTCCCTTCAAAAACAAACACCTCCAGCTTCTGCTGAATGGCTCTCTGGATGCACAGGATCTGCTGAGCTACCACTGACAACACTTCCAACTCAATTCTATTAAATTCATCAAAGCAAGCCCAAGCACCAGAAGAAGCTAATCCTTTAAAAAACTAAAGACAAACAAAAGGAAGTGATTTTTCTTAGGAAAGGGCATCATCTCTTAAAACAAATATTTAGTCTTTTAAGTCAAAATTAAGTTAAGTTTAATAAAAGCCCCAAGTACAAAAATGGTATCTTTACCCCTAAAACAAAGGTTAGCATGTTACTCACATTCAAATAATGCTTAAACATGATGTCAGTTTATCCAGTCAGCGCTAATAAGTTTGTAAAGCTGAACATTAGTGATTCAGTAATTTAACTACCTTTCCCATTGCTAGGTAATCCAGCCCATCGGAACAGTTGAACACCACACACTGCACAGCAAGAGCTTTAGCCAAGTCCTTGGTGGTCTCAGTTTTTCCTGTGCCTGCTGGCCCCTCTGGAGCACCTCCAAGGTTTAAATAGAAGGCACCTATCTGAAAAAGAAAAAAAAATATATATGAAAATAAATCCATGCTAACAAACAAATAATTGCTTACTAAGTATACTTAGTATTATTTGTAGCTTCAGAGGAGTAGTTATATAATTATATTGTTTAGCTAATTTTTAGCACAAAATTTTCTAGCTGCACAAAGTAAAAGCAGTTTAAAGGGTCCAGAAAAAAGTGAAAATGCATTAAAATCTCCTTATCCTCTAATACTTCATATGTATCACATTTACCTTTAAAAGCAAGAGAATCCAGCCTTGAGGGAATAAAATTAGTTCAGAAAGTTTTAATTACAAGTGGTTGAGGAGCTGATTGTAAACAACAATAACAACACATTCTGGATAGCTAGTTGCAAAGAGGATAAACACCTGAAAGTGGGTGCTATAAATGGGGGTCCGTTAAATGAAAGGAAACCCTGGTGGTGTAGTGGTTAAGCGCTACGGCTGCTAACCAAAAGGTTGGCAGTTCAAATCCACCAGCTGCTCCTTGGAAACTCTATAGGGCAGTTCTACTCTGTCCTATAGGGTCGCTATGAGTCGGAATCGACTCAATGGCAATGGGTTTGTTTTTTTGGGGGTTAAATGAAAGAGAAACAGATGACCTACTGTATCATTTTGCCTATTATTCACCTATTGCATTCCACTTTTGGTATGTTCTCCACTTTCTACATTTCCATAACACTTCTTTACCTCTCTTGCCAGTAGTAGCACTTTCTACCTTGTATTACAGTTAATTATGTACATTTTTTCTCATCAATTAGTCTTTAAGCTCCTTAAAGGCAACATCGATAGTACATGACTTCTTTCTGGTTGCCCACAATGCCTAGAACAGTGGCTGGAAATCTTTAGAAGCATATAAATTACAGTCAGCTCTCTCTAACTATGGAATTCATTTCATAAAAACCACCACAGGAGTGTGTGAAACTTAACTCCTTTTAGAAAAAACAGGTTTAAGGGATCAAAGCTGAAAATAAACCTGTGAAAATCATAAATATTTTTACATTTACTGAAATAAAACAATAGAGATAGCCCATTAAATAAAGGCACCATCAATGATATTTTATCCATCTTAAATGTATAATGGATGCTATACTGCTAATGTTCATCACCTGGATTGCTGGAAACCTCAGGACCTCCATTCTTGACGATTTCAGGAAAATGCTTATTAAATGTGTTCCTTTTATTATGGATAATAAATATACCAGAAGAATTCTTTTCAGTGTCTAGTGTTGTATACTAATGTTTAATGCGATTCTGATTTTACAAGCATATCACAGCTTCTGAGTTCACTGAGGCCCCAGTTGTAACATAGAAGTTTGACATTCATTTGCTCCATGCATATTTAGGGAGTAACTATGCACTTGTTCATCACTAGAAGACAAGACAGACATGGTCCCTGCCCTCAAGTAGTAGATCCCTCAGAAAGTAAAGCGTTTGATGAGACATTTTATTATAGACCCACTGGTGCCCTTCCCAGGCCCCCTTCACCAGGCCATTGCATCCATCCCCCAATAACCGTTGGGTGTCAGCTGCCCACTTCTCCTAAGAATTGCCCTCAGCTGTGGAAGCTAGGAGCCCTGATAGTGCAGTGGTTTAGGACTCAGCTGCCAACCAAAAGGTTTAAACCGACCAGCCACTCCGCGGGAGAAAGATCTGCTTCTGTAAAGATTACGGCCTCTGAAACCCTATGGGGGCAGCTCTAACCTATCTTATAGGGTCACTGTGAGTCAGAACCGACTTCACAGCAACTGTTCTTTTTTTTTTTTTAAATAGGAGCTACCTCAACAGTAAACACTTGAAAGTTTACTCACAGTTATGCCCTAGGGGTGACACCTAGCAATGACAATAAAGGGGTACAAAAGCCAGATTCCATTGCCATAAGTGGGGTAACTCTGTAAGGCCATTCATCCAACACACCCCGTGAGATCAGGTGAAGGCTATACTTCTGTTGAAACCGTATCTTTGCTTAGCTTCACTTCTCCCATCCCATCCTGCTTTCCTCACTTCATCACAGGTTTTCACTGAGAGCATTTTCTTAGTAAATCATTTGCTCTGGAATCCCCATTCCATCTCTGCTTTTACAGAACTCAATCTAAGGCATTTTAATTTTACTTACTGAGCATAGGGAGATCAGTGTTTCTTGATGTTCCTCTTCAATCAATCCCCAGGTAGGTTTACCAGATTTAGCAAATAAAAATACAGGATGCCCAGTTAAATTTGAATTTCAGATAAATGTTTTTTTAAAGTACATCCTATGCAATGTTTAGGACATAGTAATACTAAAAATCTATTCATCATTTATCTGAAATTCAGATTTACCCAGGAGTCCTGGAGTTTGTCTGGCATCCCTATTCTCAGAGTTTTTATAGCTATTGCTCTATCTTCCATTGCTTCCTACCCAAGCACGGACCCTCAGCACCATCCCCTCAATGTCAGTTCTCTCCCTCCTTGTCAATAGCACCGACTTGGAGTTCTTGGGCCCAAATGTAGTTTTGTTGTCTTTCTGTCATCTCTCCCAGGATTCCACTGCAAAAATCTATACCATTTTCTTAGGTTCCTATTTTCTCCTTACATCTCCAGTACCTTCTTTTTCTAATTATCCCCAGTGGGAGTGACTCATGATTTTTACATACTAGAACTTAAACACTATTATACACTACAAAAGAACCCAGAAGTAAATATTCATTAATATAATTTTACATAAAGGAAATTTGGAATTAGGAAGGGATAGGTGTATTCAACTATTACAGGTAAGAGAATAAATAAGGATAGTCATGTTAAATTTGGACAAGAAAATATGACACTGCACCAAAAAGTAATCTTTTGGGTGTGAATTAAAATAATTTAAATGCATACCAATGTTCTGTAACACCTGTCAGTGAGAGGAGTAATGACAAGGCGAGGACAGTTACCAAGATATTCATAAGCATATTTTACATTGCAATTAATGATGCGAACTCGAGCATTCTCATATTCCCAGTAATATCGAAGCTGAGCTAGCCACTGGAAATCTGTATCATGTGAGACACCTAGAAAGAATAAAGTAAAATAAGACACATAATCCTTAAATGGAAACAATTCTAAAAGTAGATGTTTTGTTTATAACAGCAAATATTAAAATAATTCATGTTTTCCAACTTATCTGGAAAATATCATGTAAAAGAAATTCTGTTCTGAGAAAAAAAGACAAAATATAAATCTTTGTTTCTAGAAGCTATTGACATTTTATCTTTAATGTTAAAGAAAAACTGTCACATACCTTTCTCAATCATGTCCATGACCACATCTCTAGCATGGACGTCAATAGTAACCAAAGCCCCCAGAGTGGTCCTGGTCTGCTTAGACAATTTTCCTCTAACCAGCTCTACAATATCATTTAGTTGGCTCTGAAGTTCCTTATAGTACTTCCTTAATCCCTAGAGAATAAAAAAGCAATTAAATTGATGTTATATAGTACATACAACATACATTTCATAAATTTACTCTTGTATAAAACAATTCTGACTTCATAATCTATCTCAAATACAGAAATTAATTCTAGAATACAGTGATTCTGTATAAGCCTAGTAAAATATTAAGAACAAGTCTTCAAAGAACTGCATAATTTTAATACTATATATAGAAGGAGCCCTGGAGGCACAGTGGTTAAGAGCTTGGCTGCTAACCAAAAGGTCAGCAGTTTGAATCCACCAGCCACTCCTTGGAAACCCTATGGGGCAGTTCTATTCTGTCCTATAGGGTCGCTATGAGTCGGAATCGATTCAATGGCAATGTATTATATATAGCAATTGAGGGGGGATTGCCTTTCCAAAGAATAGATAAGCTAACTAAAAAAATGGAATGGAAAAAAAGACTGTTGTTATTTAATCAAATAATGCTTTACCTCTGGTCCACCACTTATAACTTCCTGTGTCTCAGAAGTCCAGAACATTTGAGAAACACAAAGCACAACCTGGCCAGGCCACTCTCGAACCCAGTCTCTTCTTGCAGATTCTGGATAAGCCTGAATAATTAAAATGCATTTCTAACTTTAAAAGATTAAAAGAAAAAAAAAATCTAAATGTCTAACAATAGAGAAGTGCATTATTTGGTACATTCATAGGCTAGAATATCATATAGCCAGGAAAAATTATTTTAGACGACTATTTAAAAAGACTTGAAAAGATGTTTATAAATTATGATATTTTTATTTTTTTTTTTAATGGAAAGATGAACACCAACATGTAAATAATGGGTTAATAACAAACCAGTCAAATAAATTATATACACTGATGTTGAGATTTAATTGAAAAGGAGGTTATACAATCTAGTAGAAAACTAGACTAGTAGTCAGAACCTCTGCTATTTATCGATAGATTTTCTAAAAACTTGTATGACCAGAGCATACAATGTGAAAATTATATACTACAATCTGTGCTTTTGATTTCAAAACACTTATTTCTAACACTTCTATGTTCAAAATGCATTTAGTTGGATTCATCAGAGGAAAGAGGTTTAATCTTTTACAAAATGACTTGCCTCAAAAGTAAATAATAATAGCAGCTCCAGATTGTAAATTGTAAAAACCAACTGCAGAACTAAGTCTGAAGTTGATGCTAATGGAAACCATATTTTTAACAGAATAATATCATTTTAGATATAAGAATGTTAAACATTATTATTATGAAAATGATTTTTATTAGCAATATCTGGAAATAAGCACAAACAACAAACTAAGCTTCAAAGAAGAATGAGAGTGACTGAGAGCCATTGACACATAGAAGGTAAATTGTTATACTGATCAAGGAAATACTTCCATGCACAATGGTGATTCTTTCCTATGTTTTTGTTTTTGTTCTTTTTTAAATTAAACAACGTGTTTTCATCAACTGGACTATAAAACAAAAAATTATACTCATGAGGAGTGTGCTTCTCAGTTCAATCAAATACACAAGACCAAATCGGCAGCTCCTATCCAGTGGCAGGATAAGAAGGCAGAAGGGACAGGAACTGGTTGGACACAAGAAACCTGGGGTAGAAAGGGGGAGTGTGCTGTCATGTTGTAGGGATTGCAACTAATGTTACATAACAATATGTGTATAAATCCTTGTATGAGAAATTAACTTGAGCTGTGAACTTTCATCTAAAGCACAATAAAAAAAAAAAGTGTTTTCATGAGGGAAAGACTAGTTCAAAGGACTAATGAACCATAATTACCACAACCTTCACCAGCCTGAGACAAGAGCAACTAGATGGTGCCCAGCTACCACCACCAACTGCTCTAACAGGGATCACAATAGAGGGTCATGGACAGAGTGGGAGAAAAATGTAGCACAAAATTCAAATTCACACACACAAAAAAAGACCAGACTTGCTGGTCTGACAGAAACTGGAGAAACCCCAAGAGTATAGCCCCAGACACCCTTTTAACTCAGAACTGAAGTCACTCCCAAGGTTCATCCTTCAGCCAAAGATTAGACAGGTCTATAGGGCAAACAATAACACATGTGAGGAATGTGCTTGGTAGTTCAAACATGTATACGAGACTGAACGGGCACACCAGCCCAGAAACAAATACGAGAAGGCAGGAAGGGACAGGAAAACTGGTTGAATGGAAACAGGGAACTCCAAGTGGAGAAGGGGAGAGCACTGACACACCACGGTGTTGGCAATCAATGTCACAGAACAATTGGTGTGTTAATTGTTTAATGAGAAACCAATTTGCTCTGTAAATTTTCACCTGAAGTACAATAAAAAAAAGAACAACAAAAAAAGTGTTTTCATACTTTTTGAATCATAAATAGAAAAAGGAGAAAAAAGTCAAGATTTATCTGCAAAAACACCGAGGATGAACAGAATTGCCGCTGCAAAGAAGCTGAGCTCCTTAGAGCTCACAGAAGATATCTCATTCAGATAGGGAGTTGCTGGATATAAGGCTGTCATGTCTTCCAACACTAGTTTTTTACTACACTATTGCTCCTTTATGGTCCTAAAGGCAGAAGTGTACTGGAGTCTACCATTCAAGGTCAGGTTGACTGGATTAGCATAAATGGGGTACATCTAGTGCCTAGGTGTTACGTGTTTTTCAAACATTACGTCCTCCTTTAACGTCTGACCATCTCATCTTGAGTATTTAAGTAATTGTTTAAGTGTAAACAGCAGTAAGTGAACTGGATCACGTATTTAACACCCATGCTGAGGATAGCTGACCTACATACAGATCACGACTGTTTGTCTACTAGACATATTCACTAGGCTATCTCATAAGCATTTCTACTTCAATATATTCAGAAATCAACTCATTACATTCTCTCAAGCCTCCACAAACCTGCTCCTTCTCCAGGCACTCCCTCAGAGTAAACGCCACCCATATGCTCAAATCAGAAACCTAAAAGTGATTCTTGAGACGCCCCCCACCCCATCGTCACTCTTCTACCCTACAACCAATTTATCTCCAAGATCTGTTGAAATTAACTACAAAATGTATTTTAATTCTGTCTACTTTGCTTCATATCTTCTGCCACTTCCCTAGTAGCAGTCAACACTATCTCTTATCTGGGTTAATGCGACAGTCTCCTAATTTTCCATCCTGTTTTCACTCTTGTCTCCCACTAATCCATTCTTTGTGTCACAGCCATAGTGATATAAAAATAGAATTCAGCTCATATCGCTCCCCTGAATAAAATCCTTTAGTGGCTTTCCATTGCATTTAAAATAAAATGCAAATTCTAAAACTGCTTTCCTTCCTAACCTCATCTAACTTCACTTTCCACTTCGCTCACTCTATTCCAGACACAGTGGCCTTCTTGGAGGTTCTTAAATATCCCCGGCTCTTTCCAACCCCAGGGCCTTAATTCAGGATACCTCGATGTTCTTCCCATTTACTATCTACCTAGTTAATTCCCACTTACCCTTCAGTTCTCAGTTCCAACGTCATCTCCTCAGAGAGCCTGTCACTGATCTCACCCCATTCTAAATTATATACCCCTTATTATTTTCTCTCATAACACCTTTTTTCTTTTATAGCACTTAATTACATGTTATGATCAATTATTACTAATACTGTTATATTATTAATAATGTTAGAAAAAAATAAAATAATAAATGGTTTAAAATACAAGAAATTTCAGTGTTAAGTTAGTGGTACCCATTCAAGACCTCCTAAAAGAAAGCTTTTGCACAATATAGGGTATACATAAAATCCTAGGAAACACACCAGCCTGGCCGCAGCGATCACTTCATGAATACTCCGGAGCATTAGATCTTCCACTTGAATCAGCCACTTTTCCACGGCACCCCGAGCTGCAGACGTGGAAATTAGTGCAATCAGCTCCACTCGCTCACCTTCAGAGCTATACATGGCCTTAATGTCCAAATTGGGAAGGAACTCCAACTTAGCAATGCCCTCAAAGCATTTTTTTAAGTGAGGCTGAACTCTCAGCGGATCTTTGGTCTCTGACAAAATCTCTAACATTTCATCATTAGATAAGAAGAAAAAACTAGGGAAAAACATGCAAATACAAAAGCTTTAGTTATAGTTCATCACACATCAGAAACTGCTTATAATTTTAGTACAATCGATCGTCCACCATACCGAGGGAAGAAAAGACGTTTCTTTTCAAGATACGCATTAAGCCCTTTCATAATTTTCTCCAAAAGGTCATTGCAGTTCTGCAGTTTTTCCAATAAACCTGTTAACGAAGTAGCAGCAAGAACCTAAAAGAAACATGTCTGGTTGGGTCAGCACTTACATACTAAACCTACAATTAGACCTAAAAGTTCATCTACATTACATGTCAAAATTGTCAGAAATGTCAAAATGCTAAAAAGCTTAAGAAAATTTTAGTGAAATGGTTATGTTTTTGTAAAAACTATTAAAATTCAATAAATCATAAATATTCTTGTCCAAGTACAAATGAGAATTTATGATTGCCATTCATATTTTCATTTTTCCTGTATTTTTTAAATGATGTATGAAATGTCTGTTAAGTTGGTGTATGGTTTAATTTTTATTTTTACAACTGTCACTCATAAACTTAACAATCTACATCAGATGTTGGCAAACTCCATCGGCCAAATTAAGTCTATTGCCTGTTTTTGTACGGCCTGTAAACTAAGAGATGCTTTTATACATTTAAAGGTTGAAAAATTTTTTTAAAAATCATATTTCAAGACACATGGTGGTGTAGGTGTCCATAAACTAAGTTTAACTAGAGCACAGCTACCGCTACTCATTTACGTATTGTTTCTGGCTGCTTTTGTACTACAACAGACTGGAGAGGCCAGCAGCTGAGACAAAGGCTGTATGTCTCACAAAGCCTAAACTATTTACTATCTGGCCCTTTACAGAAAAAAAAGAATTGTCAATCTATAGGAAATCATCTCTCACAGTGTTCCTAAGGGAAAAATCCTTGAAAATGTCATCAATTTCTGGGCTCTACTGACTCTCAATAAGTCCAGCGTAGCTAGTTTTTCACCCAGCCTTGGAACAAATTGTTATTTCAATTAAACACCAGATTTAAAAAGTCAACTTATAGCTACATACTATGTGTGCTATGTGTATGAAAAACGCGTAGTCTGTCTTGAAACATTAGCTTCCACTCACCAAGGGTGCTATACTCACTAGGAGACATACACAGGAATTGAGATCAACAGAGAGACAGCACACTCCTTTTTCACACCACACCCGAGCACGCAGACTCACTGAGCAGAATGCCAGGTGAATCACCCAACCTCTTTCCCGTGATTTCACTCCCATCCTTGCTCTCACTTTTGTTCTCTCTCCATTTTATTTTATTTATTTATTTATTTGTTTTGAAGGCGAGGAGACCAGTGAGTAGGTATAGCAGAAACTGAGCTAAATGCACATTTGAAGCAGCTCCACTACAGATACGAGTTATAAGTAGTGTATCTTATGAATTGAAAAATAAAATTTTGTTTTAATGCTTTTTAAATATTTTTTGAACTTGCCATTTTGTACATAATGATCAGATTTATTTCACTGTTGTAATAAGAAAAAATAAGTCAAATGCTTACTTTAATAGGCAAAAATAAAGGTTCATGTACTGTAGGAGAGAAAACAAACATTTCACCTTCGGGTCTTTCGCACAAAACTTCATGATATCCCTCCAATGTCTGTCTACTGTCTGAAACTGACGGCCTTCTTCTGGCATCTGCTGCATAATATCCTCGGAACAAAAGATGGGCTCCAGGTACAGCCACTGAGCTTGTACTTTTAACCATTCATCAATCGTCTCTTGTATTCGAATCAAACGGTCCTCCCAGGCCTTAAGGAAAAGCACATTGTACTGATTTCCAGTTATTAAAGAAAAGCTATAACTTATAGCAAGGAAAATATTTAAAATTTACCGTTATTTTTGAATCAATGCAAACAGTTCAAGGTCACTTATGGGTATCTCACATAGGCTTAGGAAAACTCTAGGAAGTCTAAGGATTTCCTAAGTTATTAAAACTCACAACTGGAAATGATGAGAAAGTTATTTAGTCCAGTTTCCTAATCCCTAGGTTAACCGTCCAAGTCCAAAAAGCATCCAGAAATATATGCTGTTCTGCATCAGTGGTTCAGAACCAGAGGCGGTTCTGCTCCCAGTCCCAGTAGACATTTGACAACATCTGTAGATATTTTTGGCCATCACAACTGAGGGGCTGCGCTATTAGTATCTACTGAAGAGAGGTCAGAAATGCTGCCAAACTTCCTACAATGTACAACGTACAGGACAGACCTCACAACAAAGAATTATCTGGTCCAAAATGTCAATAGTGCCAAAGATAAGAAACTCCAGTCTACAGTCACACAATTCGGGGGTGCGGAGACTCCTTATTCTTAAGGTCCCCTAAAGTCGATAAGGTATATCATTAGCTGAAGACCGTTCATATAATCTCCATCTTTGGTTCTTAAATTTATGGTCTATGTATTAATTCTAAATTCCCCCTGTTAGACAAGTTAGAAATCTCTACAAAAGACATAATATCAGGAAAGGCTAGGCCAGCCTGATTCATGGGAAATGGTCCAACATTATGTCCTTTTGGAAGAACACCATTCTTTGTCTGCTCCAAATACTTGTAGTCTAGCTCCTCTATAAAATACTATTCATGCTCAAATTAAAACCAGACTGCCTTGGTTTGAATCCCAGCTCTGTCATTTATTAGCTTGGTGAACTTGGGCAAATTATCAATCCTCCCCTGCCGTGGTTTCCTTATCTGTGAAGAGAAATAGTAACAGTGCCTTCCTTGAAGGTGGGCTATGAGGATTAAATGGGTTAATAAATGTAACGACCCTAAAGTAGTATCTGGCACATAGTTAGGGGTCAATAACCATCAGGGGGAAAATTCCATTTGCAGTTTGTCTTTCCCCCAGTTTATATAGTCCCCGATTAGAATTCTGACACTATGAAGCTATTAGCTGTTATCATTTGTTTGCTTTCTGTATTTACTCATATCAACTCTAAAGATATGAAATAATCTTGGGGCCTCAAATATCATTTGTTTTTCTCAAGTGGGCAATAATTCATTAATCACTCTAAGAGACCCTCGAGCTAGTTGTTCACAAGTATAATTAAAGTCTAGTATATAGAACTTTTCTACAAGTTAAAGAATATAGTTAAGAAATAGGGTCTAGGCTTTCTGAAGTTAGAATAAATTATACCAAAACTGTTTCCCTTACAAGTCTATCACTGTCATTGGACAAGATTTATTTTAATAAAACAAGTTTTTCTTTTCAAAATCATTAGTTACTGTATCAAATCTATTCTATATATTTCCACATTAATTTATGAATATCTCTTCCAGTGTATCATCAGAAAAATATGAAGATTATAGACTATGATTTGAATTTAAAAAGTCCATCCACCAAATGACTTATTTCTGCAAGAGCACAAATGTAGTAAGACTGTAACTTTTTATAATGGTCAGTAGCTCAATATCATACCTTGATCTCTTTTTCAAATGGTTTGATGAAAGGTGAGCCCCTCATTGTCTGTGTTTTTATAATCTGATCATCAAGGAGAGCCTGAATCTCATCCACTGAAGAAAGAATACAGACTCCAGTATCACGGTATGGACTTATATGAAAAGCAATATCATCCCAAGTTCCTATCATTGTATGCATGGCTTTCTCTAATGAAAATTCCTAGAAGGAAGGAAAGAAGAAATTATGGGATGGTAGAAGAAAGGATCTTATTTACTTATTGACTTTGCCTAGTGAATTGGATAAGTATTTGATACATTACACTGTCATTTTCTTAAGATAATCTGTGGCTACCGTGTAATTTTTTTTGGAAGTAAGAAAGATTTTTAACAATTTAATAATTCTTAATAAGAATAATAATGTAGTTTTTAAAAATTCACTTGCTATGAAAACTGCCATCAGTATTAAAACAGACAACAGAATAAAATACCTGACAGACTTTTCTGAAGAACCTTTCGGCAGCCTGGAGTCTGAAGATGCTTTCTGTGTATTTCAAGAATTCTTTCTAGTGCCATATTTATTCTGCTAGAGCCCACACACCTCACATGCCACACATATATTCACCCAGTGTTCTTCATGAGCATATCATCGACGTATATCAGAATGTGGCAGAAGTAAGAGGAGGTCAAAAGAGTCATTTCCAGAATGGATTCAGGAGAGTAATTAGGAGCACACATTTTGTGCGGAAAAAGGGTGGTCTTCTATCACTGACTTCCAGCTCCTCCCACTGCTATCCAGTGCTTTTTTTTTTTTTTTTCCACAGTTATAGGGTTTATTATGGAAGTAACAGGTTATAATTCAGGTTCAGGAACAACAGGCTACAATCTTGAATCAGGATCAGGAAGCATGTAGGCGAAGTCTCCCTTCTTCAGTGCAGGACAGCTCTCTCAGCTCCTCTTGGCCATGCAGGTCTCCTCTTGGCCCCCTGAGGACAGGCTCCTTTCAGCCCCCTCAGGACAGACTCCTCTCAGCCCCCTCAGGACAGGCCTCCTCTCTAGGCCCTCAGCCCCCACTTGGGCCTGGCCTCTGCCCCGCTAGATCAAGAGTTACAAAGCTCTTTAGCTCTGCTGATAAGTGCCCAGAGGTAACCCCCTCTGCCTGGAAGACTTCTGCCTGCAGGCTTTCAGGTCTCTCACTGCATGGGTTGGCACACCTACTGTAGCCCTTTCACTCCATGGGCCAGGAAGCCCACCATGCCATCTCCCACCGGTCTCCTGGTTCTGCTGCTGCCATTCCTCTGCCGCTGCTTCTCGTCATCTTGTGCCATCTCCAGTTTTATAGCGCTCTCTTTCTCTGTCTCCTGGGTCTACGAGTTTCTCAGTGCAGGGACCCTGGGTCCAAAGGATGCACTCCATTCCCAGCTCTTCTTTCTTGATGGTAGTGAGATCCCCCCTTTCACTTCTGGGATTTGCTTCCTGTAAGCCTAGTGGACTGGCAAAACTGACCAATCCCCTCTTTAGGGTTCCTTATACTTTGTTTGAATGGTCCCATCCCCACAGAGGTTCATACACCTTATTTACATTATTATCCAGTGCTATATTTTTAACCAAAACAAAAACTATGCATACTTCAAATGAAGTATTTCAGTTGATCTTTATGTTTACCTTGCTTGCACCTGCACTTATCACTTCAAATTGATCCAAGTATGGTGTAAGATTTAATTTTAAAACTTTTCTCAGTGTAGTTCCAGAGTCTGGAGTCAAGTCATAGCCTACAATTTCTGACATCTGGTTCCAGTGACGAGCTCTCATTCCAGGATTGCACAGGATGGAGACAGTAGGGATATATTCCTAATGGTGAAAATATAAACAATAATGGGTCATTCATTTGACTTCCATACACATATATTTTAAGGATGAAGCCTCAGTCATATAAAAATTACAGTTCTTCAAAAAAAGACCAGACTTACTGGTCTGACAGAGGCTGGAGAAACCTCAAGATTATGGCCCCCCAGATACCCTTTTAGCTCAGTACTGAAGTCACTCCTGAGGTTCGCCCTTCAGCTAAAGATTAGACAGGCCCATAAAACAAAATGAGAGTAAATGGGCACACCAGCCCAAGAGCAAGGACAATAAGGCAGGAAGGAACAGGAAAGCTGGTAACAGGGAACCCAAGGCTGAGAAGGGGAAAGTGTTGACATGTTGCAGGGTTGGCAACCAATGTCTCAAAACAATATGTGAACTAATTGTTTAATGAGAAGCTACTTTGTTCCATAAACCTTCACTGAAAATACAATTTAAAAAATGTGAGAAAAATTACATTTCTTCAAATTATTGAATTTATTTAATGTAAGCCCAATCAAAATCCCAATTAAATTTGGAGAAGATAAACTAACAAAATGATTCTGAAGTTTATCTTCAAAAATAAACATACAAGAATAGCCTGGAAAATTATGAAAGTAAAAAAGACAAAAGAAGGGTAAATGTTCTGTAAGATATATTAAAGTAGATGGTAAACCAAAACCAAACCAGTTGCTGTCCAGTTGATTCCAACTCATGGCTACCTGTTTTCCAAAAGTATATGATAAAACTATGGAAATTAAAACTGTGGCATTATAGAAATACAAAGTTACTATAGAATATAATAATATATACTCCTCACTTATTGACTATCTCATTATCTGACATTTCGCATTTACGACAACAGTAAAAAAAATCTACTAAGCAACTATTTTGTGCATTGATGACATACATCTGGCAGTAACGAATGTCAGGTGTTAGGCAAGAGTATCATGGGCTATGATGGTTAAGGTTATGTGTCAGCTTCAATGGGCCATGATTCACAGTGGTTTGGCAATTATGTAATGACGTAATTTGGCAGTTATGTTATAATGTAATTTGGCGGTTTTGTGATTATGTGATTTGGCAGTTATGTAATGATGTAGTCATCCTCCATTTTGTGATCTGATGTGGTCATCCTCCATCTTTTGCATAACGCCAAATTTCACATAATGACCTAGTCTTTGGAACCTAGCCATGTCAATAAGTGAGGAGTGGATGTAGTTAAAAATACACACATACACATAATTATACCATGTATGAGAAAAAAAGCCTGCACCAAAATGTAACAATGTTTTATCATTGCTTAGTGAAATTCAGAGTTTTTATCCATCTTGTACTTTTCTATATTATCTGACTTTGAGTATGTATTACTCAAATCATACAAAATAATAAGTTTACTTTTGTTTGGAAATAAAAATAAAATATTCAACAGAAATACT